ATAAGACTCTCCTCTTTAAAAAAAAAAAAAAAAACTAACTAAAAATGGAGCTACCATATGATCCAGCAATCCCACTCCTGGGTATACACCTGGACAAAACTATAATTCAAAAAGATACATGCACCCCTATGTTCACAGCAGCACTATTCACAATAGCCAAGACATGGAAACAACCTAAATGTCCACTGAAAGATGAATGGATAAAGATGTGGTACATATATACCATGGAATTCTACTCAGCCACAAAAAAGAACAAAATAATGCCATTTGCAGCAACATGGATGGACTTAGAGATTATCGTACTAAGTGAAGTAGGTCAGAGAAAGACAAATATCATATGATATCACTTATATGTGGAATCTAAAAAAATGATGCAAATGAACTTATTTACAAAACAGAAATAGACTTACAGACTTAGAAAACAAACTTATGGTTACCTAAGGGGAAAGGTGGGGGGTGAGGGATAAATTAAGAGGTTAGGATTAACATATACATGCTACTATATATAAAATAATCAACAAGGACCTACTGTATAACACAGGGAACTCTACTCAGTACTCTGTAACAACCTATATGGGAAAAGAATGTTAAAAAGGATATATGTATATGTGTGACTAAATCACTTTGCTGTACACCTGAAACTAATACAACACTGCAAATCAAATATACTGCAATTAAAACAACAAAACACACACAATAGGAACAATTACAGGGACAGCATACACAAATCCATATAGCCAAAAAGTTCTAACTACCTGTTTCTCCTCACCATTACCGCACCACAGTACACACACACACACACACACACACACACACACACACACAGAAATAGGGTCCTCAGAACCACACATCTGAAACAACCACATGAGAACCTAGAGGGAAAGTAATTTGATTTTTTCTTTCTATATAAAATGAGTATGTCATGACCTATCTAGCCGACCTCAAAATTCTTTAGATATGGAATGATTCTTGAAACACTGTGTAAGATACAACATAGGAATTCATAATTTAATGCCTTTATTGAAAAATATGTGACAAAACTTAAATACATAAATTATATATTTATATAAATATATAACTCAGGTGCATTTTTAAGTGGATAGAAAATTGATTTAAATATTTATAAGAAGACAGATTTCGTAAGTTAGCTAAAGGACATTATACTTCATCACTATAACTTACCACAACAGACCTTGGCATTGCTGGCTTAAACACCGAACAGAATTCCAATAATCTTTTCTCATAATACTTGCACAGCGTCATTTCTTCAGGAGGCTCAAGAAAGACTGGGTCATTTGGAAGAACCTTTGGGTCAGAAGTTACAACAAAAATTTAATTAGATAATCTTAATATTTTTTTCTCTTTCTAGATTAAGTTTATATCTCCAACCAAAGGGAAATATACCACACCTCATTTTCTCTTTATAGAATTGCTAATATTACACAAAATAGCTTTTAAGAAAACATTTAATAAACTAAAACTATACTGTAATTGCATAATTTCTCGGAATGTCGGCTGAATATTTGCTTCACTAATGTATAAGCAATCATGAGGAGTGTGTGCATACGTTCACAGATTTGATGTCACTATTTATAAATCAAAAAGAAGATACACATTGTCAATGGTTGGACAATATCCCTTTCTCAGTCAGTTATTAAGTCACACAGGTTGAGGTAAAAATCAACAAGTGCCTCAAGGATAATTTTGACCCTTAACACATTAACTCTTCTCCATCTTTATAAAATCTCTACAGAATACACTACACGGTTGATAAATACTACAATTTTACAACAAATATCTATTTGGTGCTGTTATTGGTTTAATTACGGACTACCAAAAAAGGTATGTTGAGTCCTAACCCCCAGTACTCAGAATAGGAGGAAATAAGGTCTCTGCAGATGTAATTAGTTAAGATGAGGTCCTACTGAAGTAGAATGGGCTCCTAATCCAATATGACTGGTAGCTTTATAAGAAGAACATGTGAAGAGACAGAAACACAGGGAGAACACTATGTAAAGATGGAGCTAGAGACCGGAGTTAGTTGCCACAAGCAAAGGAACACCTGGAGTTACCAGAAGCTGGAAGAGGAAAAGAAGCTGCACAGAGCACCACTCGGCCAACACCTTGATCTCAGACTTCTAGCCTCCAGAACTGTGAAACAATAAATTTCTGTTGTTTTAAGCCACCCAGTTTGTGGTAATTTTTTTATGGAGTTATTTTTCCTAGTTTCCTAGGAAATTAACACAGGTGCTAATTTTGAGACAGCATGGCACTGTGGTTTACAGAAGGAATGCTGAAACTAGATTCCATGGTTTCAAATCTTGGCTCTGCCACTTACCAGCAATATAGCCTGAAAGTTATTCAACCCCTCTGTAGTTTCCTAAGATGTAATGCAAGGATAATAATAGTATCTACCTCACGGGGTAGTTATGAGGATTATATGAGCTAACACTTGCTAAATACTTAGAATTTAGCACAATATGCACTACTTTGTGCAGCACAAAAATAAAGTGATATGAAACAGACGAGACTTCCAGGTAAAAGTAAAACAGGAAGGACGTGGTTGACAGACCACATAGTGCAAACCATCTGTGGTCAATTGGTTTGTGCTAACCGTCTCTCATGCCCCTGCCTCCACCCTGCCCCCATCCAGTCGATCCATTCCTTCCCATAAAGCTCTTTCTAGGACAGACTCTGATAAGGTTTATTTCCCATCTAAAATTTTTCAAAGGTTTCCCTATTCCTCCATCACAAAGTTCAAACTATTTACCTCCGCTTACAAGTTCCCTGCTTACCTTCTCCAACCTTTCATACACAAATACTCAGCTTCCGCCACACACAATCATGAGCATTCCGGGGACCAACCCTGAAACTTCTGGCCTCCTACTTTGCACCTGTGGCTCTGTCCACCGGGAAAGTCCTCTCCCCATCATCTCCACAACAGGCACTAAGAAAAGCCTCCCCCCACTACATTAGCATGCTACAAAGTCTTCTTCGCCATGTTACTGGTTATTTGTCTGCCACTCGATTACGGGGATGGATGGCCTTGTCCGTCTCCGTACCCACTGCACCTAGCAAGGTGCTCACTGTTTATTAAACAGATAAACGCACGCCGCGCACAGGAGGTGGGAGGGAGGTGCGCGGGAAGTCCCGGGGGAGAGGGACGGGCAAGAGTTTATAGAGCTCGAGGGAGAAGGGCGGCAGCCGGAGCCCTCACCTTCCCGTTCGCCACAGCTTTGCATTTGAATTTGCGGTTGGCGTCGGCCCGCAATCGCGCCAGCTGCTCCTCACTAGCAAAAGTCCAGTGCCGCTTCTGGCTACTGTTGTGGTACATGGTGAAGTCGGAGGCAAGGCCCAGGGAGTCTGCAGAGAAGACCGCCAACGGCACAAAACCGGAACGTAAAGCGGCTAAACCACCACCAGGATCCCGCGGAAGCCCAACGATTCAGGCCGGTCGGCGCGGGCGCGACGTCAAGGTCACGTGGTAATTCCGTCCGCAATCGCGTTTCCGGAGCGGATTAGGAGAAAGTCTCGCGGGGTCTCTGACCACGGCCCGCGAATCAAATGGGCGTAGCCAACCGACACGCTCCTCCTTTTTTGTGAGCCTCGGCCCTAGCTCCGCCCCTTTCCGACAAGATTTAAAGGAGACACGACAGACAGGGCTATCCAAAAGGGAAGTACATTGAGGGCATGTGGAGGCTAACCTAAACAATCCACAAGAGATAATCAGAAGTTAGGAAAGCACTCTGGAGGAGGTCAACTTTTAAATAGGATGTTCAGAGGAGGCCCCAGCGAGAAGGTGACATTTGAGCAAAGACTTGAAACAGTTGAGGGAGTAGGCCTACGTAATCATGTGGGGATGATCTTGGGGCAGATGAAACAGCCAAGATCCTAAGGCAGAAGCATTCCTGGCTCTTTTAAGGAAGAGTGTGTCTGGAGCGCTACCTAAATTCTTGACCTGAGAGAGACTGAAACATGGTAGGAAAACTAGAAACAGTGCATGTGTATCGTTCTTTATCGTTCTGACACTGTGTCCCTGTCTATCCTTTTTCTGTGCCTTTTTCCTTCTGCTTCTGTTGATAACTAGCCAATCCTTCTCCCCCTATTTCCATCTCTGAAGCCACTATATATAGTAGTTTTAGGGTTTTCTTGAGATTCCCATCTTTATTATTGACCCCCAAGGGAGCCTTACACCTTGCAATAAGCTATTATTAACACTTCAGAGATTTTTTTAAAACTATTAGTGCTTTCAAAATTGCATTTGAGATACAAAGTTTACATTGATTACAAAAGCCTTTACTAGTTTTGAAATTTGTCTCATTTAGCCATACCTGTGCATCATACGTGGGGTTAGAAAGGTGGATTTACCCACATCAAATTGTTTTTCTAAAAACAAACAAAAAAGGAGATAAAGATGATGATACAGAGAGTTGAAAAGGTCACACAGGACAAAGGGGGCAGAATATTTCCAACTTTGCTTTCAATGAAAATATTTTTAAAGGCTTAAGAAAGAGAGCGCTTATTCTTCTTTTTTGTTTAATTTGGGTGGGTGCAGTTGAGGGTAGACTTTGCCAGAGTTATTTGAATTCCTTCTCAAACTTATACCATTTGTAGTTAATAACTTTGGAGATCCAGACACTCCTTAAACATATGTCAGTGATTTAGTCTAGTAAATTGGCTGAGAAAAAGAGAAAGAAGGAGAAAATGTGATTATGTTAAGGAAGGACATGGCAAGTTATGAGTCCAGTGGATTGTGAGAACCCTAAGATTGTATAACTGGAAAGAATAATTTAAAAGGAAAAACAGAAAGACAGGAACAGAAGTGATTTAGATAAATAAATGTATGTATAAAATCTTAGAACCATGACAGTTACGTATACCCTGTCAATTCTTTTTATTTTGTTTTTCTGAAAGTCATTTGACAACTCCTTTAGTTTCATGTAAAGGGAAATAAAAATGGGCATTTGAGAGATGGCAGAATATGATTTCCACAGGCATAAGAGTAAAATTGCTGAGTGTCATAGTTCATTTAGGAAGACAAATATGAAAACCTGGTGTTCCTGGTATAGCTATTTTTTTTAAGCCTTTAACAAATCTTAGTCTATGAAAATAAGCACTGACCATATCTGGGGAAATGTAGAAGAAATTGTAGCTGAATTAACCATCTACAGAATAAAGTTGTTGCTGATGTCCTGACATTAAGGCTCATACATGATTTCTTCTTCTTAAAGTGAGCAAGCTGGATGCTGCATTTTCAGTCTGCCTGAGTGACCTTCCCTTGTTCAGCCTATTGAGCATAAGTTTACTTTTTGTGCTATTTCTACAGTGGAAAGCAGACTGTGGACTTAGAATATGGTGCCTTACTTATCTCCATTTCTTTCCAACTAAAAAGCAGCAAGTGTTTCTCTCTACTCTATTTTATTTATGGAAAAGTTCAAACATAAAGAATAGAGAGAAATGTATTTCAACAATATCAATTCATGGCCAATTCCTACCTAACCCCCGCCTCCATCCCCATTACTTTTTTTTTTTCTTCCAGTTTTGTTCAGGGATAATTGACACAAGCACTGTAAAAGTTTAAGGCGTACAGCATATGATTTGACTTACATACATCATGAAATGATTATCACAATAAGGTAGTGAACATCCATCATATCATGTAGATACAAAATTAAAGAAACAGAAAAAAATTTTGTGTGTGTGATATGAACTCTCAGGATTTACTCTCAACAACTTTCATATGTAACATACAGCAGTGTTCATTATATTTATCATGTTGATAAATGTATATTTATCATCCCAAGCACTTAGTTGTCTGGAATTTTGTACCTTTTGACTACCTTCATCTTTCATCCCCATAACCTTTATTATTTTTTTATACAGCAGATTCATATTAGTTATCCATTTTATACATGTTAGTGTATACATGTCAATCCCAAACTCCCAATTCATCCCACCACCACCACCACCCCGCACTGCCTGCCCCACCTTGTGTCGATACGTTTGTTCTCTGCATCTGTGTCTCAATTTCTGCCTCGCAAACCAGTTCATCTGTACCATGTTTCTAGGTTCCACATATATGCGTTAATATACGATACTCGTTTTTCTCTTTCTGACTTACTTCACTCTGTATGACAGTCTCTAGATTCATCCACGTCTCTACAAATGACCCAATTTCATTCCTTTTTATGGCTGAGTAATATTCCACTGTATATATGTACCACATCTTCTTTATCCATTTGTCTGTCGATGGGCATTTAGGTTGTTTCCATGACCTGGCTATTGTAGACAGTGCTGCAATGAACATTGGGGTGCATGTGTCTTTTTGAATTATGGTTTTCTCTGGGTATATGCCCAGTAGTGGGATTGCTGGGTCATATGGTAATTCTTTTTTTAGTTTCTTAGGAAACCTCTATACAGTTCTCCATAGTGGCTGTGTCAGTTTACATTCCCACAAACAGTGCAAGAGGGTTCCCTTTTCTCCACACCCTCTCCAGCATTTGTTGTTTGTAGATTTTCTGATGATGCCCCTTCTAACTGGTGTGAGGTGATACCTCATTGTAGTTTTGATTTGCATTTCTCTAATAATTAGTGATGTTGAGCAGCTTTTCATGTGCTTCTTGGCCATCTGTATGTCTTCTTTGGAGAAATGTCTATTTAGGTCTTCTGCCCATTTTTGGATTGGGTTGTTTGTTTTTTACTATTGAGCTGCATGAGCTCAATAGTATCTTGGAGTTTAATCATTTATCCATTGATTCATTTGCAAATATTTTCTCCCATTCTGAGGGTTGTCTTTTCATCTTGTTTGTAGTTTCCTTTGCTGTGCAAAAGCTTTTAAGTTTCAGTAGGCCCCATTTGTTTATTTTTGTTTTTATGTCCATTACTCTAGGAGGTGGGTAAAAAAAGATCTTGCTATGATTTATGTCAAATAGTGTTCTTCCTATATTTTCCTCTAAGAGTTTTATAGTGTCCAGTCTTACATTTAGGTCTCTGATCCATTTTGAGTTTATTTTTCTGTATGGTGTTTGGGAGAGGTCTACTTTTATTCTTTTACATGTAGCTGTCCAGTTTTCCCAGCACCACTTACTGAAGAGACTGTCTTTTCTCCATTGTATATCCTTGCCTCCTCTGTCATAGATTAGTTGACCATAGGTGCATGGGTTATCTCTGGGCTTTCTACGTTCTTCCATTGATCTAAGTTTCTGTTTTTGTGCCAGTACCATATTATCTTGATTACTGTAGCTTTGTAGTATAGTCTGAAGTCAGGGAGTCTGATTCCTCCAGCTCTGTTTTTTCCCCTCAAGACCGCTTTGGCTATTTGGGGTCTTTTGTGTCTCCATACAAATTTTAAGATTTTTTTTGTTTTAGTTCTGTAAAATATGCCATTGGTAATTTGATAGGGATTGTGTTGAATCTGTAGATTGCTTTGGGTAGGACAGTCATTTTCACAATGTTGATTCTTCCAATCCAAGAACATGATATATCTGAGATCTGTTTGTATCATCTTTAATTTCTTTCATCACTGTCTTATAGTTTTCTGCATACAGGTCTTCTGTCTCCCTATGTAGGTTTACTCCTAGGTATTTTATTCTTTTTTGTTGCAATGGTAAATGTGAGTGTTTCCTTAATTTCTCTTTCAGATTTTTCATCATTAGTGTATAGGAATGCAAGACATTTCTGTGCATTAATTTTGTATCCTGCAACCTCACCAAATTCATTGATTAGCTATAGTAGTTTTCTGTTGGCATCTTTAGGATTCTGTATGTATAGTATCATGTCACCTGCAAACAGTGACAGTTTTACTTCTTCTTTTCCAATTTGTATTCCTTTTATTTCTTTTTCTTCTCTGATTGCCATGGCCAGGACTTCCAAAACTATGTTGAAAATAGTGGTGAAAGTGGACATCCCTATCTTGTTCCTGATCTTAGAGGAAATGCTTTCAGTTTTTCACCATTGAGAATGATGTTTGCTGTGGGTTTGTCATATATGGCCTTTATCATGTTGAGGTAGGTTCCCTCTATGCCCACTTTCTGGAAAGTTTTTCTCATAAATTGGTGTTGAATTTTGTCAAAAGCTATTTCTGCATCTATTGAGACGATCATATGACTTTTATTCTTCAATTTGTTAATATGGTGTATCACACTGATTGATTTGCATATATTGAAGAAGGCTTGCATCCCTGGGATAAATCCCACTTGATCATGGTGTATGATCCTTTTTATATGTTGTTGGATTCTGTTTGCTAGTATTTTGTTGAGGATTTTTGCATCTATATTCATCAGTGATACTGGTCTGTAATTTTGTTTTTTTGTAGTATCTTTGTCTGGTTTTGGTATCAGGGTGATGGTGACCTCGTAGAATGAGTTTGGGAGTGTTCCTCCCTCTGCTATATTTTGGAAGAGTTTGAGAAGGATGGGTGTTAGCTCTTCTCTAAATGTTTGATAGAATTCACCTGTGAAGCCATC